GGGAATCGAAGCCTTCCGTCTTCGTCTGTTCGGTGCTAAATAACCAAGGACAGATCCCGCTGATACCGACGCGGTTCATTTCGATCTTTTTCTCCACGGTTTCCGCTTTATCTCTCCACCTGTTTTTCGCGCTGTTCTGTTTTACAAGCATTCCGCGCGATCTTCTGGGACTGGGATGAGTAGAGATGGAACGAATTATGGTGTATAAATAGATTTGAATTTAAATTAGGTAGTTTTAGAGTTGAACGAAATAGAATAGAACGAAATAGATGATGAAATGGAATGTAGAAATAGGATAATATAGAATAGAAGAAGTTTGAACTCTGTAGATTGGAATCTAACAGAGATCTCTTTTAAATAATAAAGTAATTTTTCGTTATTTTCGAAAGAAATATAAATGTAGACAATAATCTATAAAAAAAACTGCCAATTATAAAATTTGATTATTGATTCCGATTTTTAAATATAAATTATACTTAATTCCATCCATAATAAAACGTTTCTAAATTTTTTAAGAAATTTTGAATATTTCGATATATTCTCCGTTATTTTGATTTATCTGTAAATATTACAAATTAGACATTATTGATTAATTAACACGAAAATTGTTAAAAATATTGTTAAAATATTTCTCTTCTCCTTTCGATACAGATATATTTAAATGATATAAGTATGAAATATATTAAGATTTATTTTTTTTCTGTAAAATTAACAAATTGGCAAATAATATAATCTAGTGACACATCGAATAGAAGAAAATAAAAATTTACGAAAGAAAAAAAAAACGATAAATTTCACTAACATCACTAAACAAATGTCATTTATTAACTATTCGTTAAAAATTCTCGCGTAACGATCTTTAGCAAACAAATCCATCAAAGATACGAAAGGAAATGGCATGGAAGCTTCGAAAGGAAGAACGAGAAGAAGACTTGACTCGAGATCGATTATCGATCCCGCGATCGAAACTATCGACCGCTTTGCGCACGTACTGCCACTTCATTCGTTTCCAATTGGAGATGGAACAAATGGCCGAGTCGATCCTCAACAGACGCGATGGATCTTTATCAATGCGAACGTGCCAACAGCGATCACAATCGATTCGATTGAGACATATATTCCACTGTATACTTAGATATCGGTTTTAATTGAAATTAGAAATGTTTTTTATTTTATTTTATTTTATCAATAAATTAATACCATTCCTGATTAATTTAATTAAGAGTTCGATATGTATTCGTTAGTTTTCTATCTACATATAATTTTAAATAATTGTGATGTAATAGAAATATTTCCATAATATAAAACAAGAATTTTTAAAAAATAAATATTTTAGGATAAATATCTTATTCCATAAATATAAACAATAATAATAAAAACAAAATTAATAACAAAAACAAGTATTTAGTTTAATAAAAATAAGATAAATTGATTTTATTATAAATTTATTTTTTTTTATATAAATTCATTAATGATTATCCATGATGATTATTAGTCAAAATTTTAAATATATAATAAATTTTTAGAATTCACATACAATCAATAATATAAAGAATTTTTACAATTTTACAATTTCACAAGTTCTATTTTTCTGAAAAATTCTTAAAATAGATGAATATCTTTAATCCAAATTCCAAAGTCATCGAATATCTCTTTCGAAACATTCCCATGAACCCTTTCACCCAAGAAAATTCTCATCGACGCTTCCCTGTTATATATCTTTCTCATCGCGACGATAAACGTAAAAGTAAAAAAATACCGCGGCAAAAACGCGAGCTGTCTTCACCATCGCTAAGCAAGAGTCAAGCTACACGATCGATTTCCACACTATCCCCTTTTCTCATCTCAGAGAATCAAAACACCATAAGACTAACAAACCGTGAAATTAGAAAATCAAGCTAAACTATCCCGGTACCTTTCAAACGAGATATAATTATTCCAAAACCGAGATTCCTCCATAAAACAGCTGTTGAGATTTATCGTCTCGAGTAAAAAAAATCCCTATCGTCAACATTTCCTTGTCGGGACAGTTAATGTCATCGACCATTTTAATCGCCCATTTGTTTCATATTCTTCTTAACCTAAGATTAGGTAGTAAAAACAAGAAAAGCAGCATACTTACAAATACAATACTAGCAAATTCAAATCAATATTATTCAATATGCAAAGTGTTTATAGTGAAACAACAACATTACAAGTAAGGCAGTATACCATATAATAGCAACGTCACTGAAAACAAAAATATTCGGTTTTACTGGTAAAAAATAGTTGAGAACGGTTGATTTGTAAGCACGACAATATTTGGTTAAAACACTTGAACATAGAGGTCTCCACTTGACTATAAAAATGCAAGTTCAAAATGCTAACTTCACAAGTCTCCTCTCTACACGCTTCTCGTTTCGCGACTTAACTTGTAATTGCATTCTTACCATGGAGACTTCAATGGAAAGATAAATAAAAACGAAATCTCACGCATCAATGACGAGAATCGAACAAAGGAGAAGGACGAGGAAGCAGAGTCGATCTCTTTGATTCCATTATTGCTCGACCTAATTGGATTCCACCGCGCGATCGCGGGCTGCAACGTCTATAAACCCGCGGCCGACGAAACCAATTTGGGCATTCCTACGGATACGTAGCCGGTGGATCCGTCGTCGATCTATAGATCACTCGCCGCTACCTGTGCCAGTGATGGCTTGCCCAAATTTTCGACCATGCGATCCCCGATCGTGCAAAAGCCGCCTTCGGTATTCGAGATACGACCGCGGTTTCGGGGGAAACTCAATTTTCGTGGGATGATGTACAGGTGAGGAGAAATTTAGTTTCGATCGAACGTGATGAGATTTGATCGATTCTATCTCACGCGTGAAACACCATTCGGTTTTTTCAGATTGTTCAGATTTTTTTGACGACTTTTTTTCGATAGATTGACGAAATCAAAAGTTATGATTTGGCGATTCGTTCTTAACTGAAATATCTTATATTTTATGCACGTTTTTGAAGTGAGGTTAATTCGTAAATAAATATATATGCCTTTAAAGTGAAATTATTTTGCAAATGAATGAATGTTACGTTTTCAAAGTAAGGTTAGTTAGAAAATAAATATGTATATTTTTAAAATGAATTTAGTTCACAAATGAGAAAATATTATATAATTACAATCTCGTTTTTTTATCTTTATTGGCAGTAATTTTGAAAATATCTCGTATTTATTTATATTTATTCACTTTCTTTCAAAGATATTACTTTGATATATAATTGATCGCCTTTAGATAAATAAACTCGTTTTATCGAGATACAAAAGAAAAAACGTGTTTCATTTAAAATTAAATTCGCGAGTGTACATGCAGAATCGAGTTGGAACGAGTGCGTGCGTAAACGTGGGTGGCGATCTGTGCAGACCCATTGTAAATGCACTCGTCGCGTTCGTCGTTAATTAAGATCCATCTCCGCAAGGTCTGGCGAAACCAGTCCTCGTCCAACCTCGACGGCCAATAAGATGGAAAAGTCAACGAGATTCCCTCCTTATCGCGAAATCTTCACTCGATCGATTGATCGATCGATCAATTCATCTTCCATAGAAAATCAGAATCAACTATTCTAACTTAACCTAACTTAACCTAATAGTAAATAGAGATCGATATGTCAAGTAACAGAAACATTGATTCCTTTTGATATTTTGGCTTTTGATATATATCGATATCGATACCGGATCGAAATTTGCAAACTAGTATATAGTAGATAGAATCGATTCCTTTTCATATTTTTATCTTTGTTACATTTCAATATCAGATCAAGATTCGCAAACTTGTATCGATAGTCATATCATTAAGAGTAAATAGAAAGAAGAAAACAATTTGTAGTGACATTGTTCGAAGAAGAAAAATACTAGGTAAGGAAAGTAGCAGCAATGGTGGTGCTTCACAGAACCCGTAAAAGTGATTTGTTCTGCTATTAACGAGACGCGGATAGCAGGAACGTTAATGGAAAATTATCGACAGTTACGAGACTCGATACACCGTTACGACTGGTGAACGTCGTAAATAACAGTCGGTTATATGCTTGAAAATACCTTAAAGGCGTGCTAGTTTCTTGCAACGTAGCGAGTTAACCTATAACCGGAATGTGTCGAGCGATTTTGAACTCGAAACATCTTTAAAACGCAAATTTTTCAAACATAAATAGAAGAAACTTCGAAAATATTTCGCATCTTTTTGATAGAAAAGAAAAGTAAGTATCGCGAAAAATCGTAAACTTTATTCTACTTGAAGAAATATTTCATGCTTTATTCGAAAGGAAGACAAGGGGATTAGAGTCGTTTTAACCTCAAACGTCTTAACGTCAAACTCGAAGAATATGCCATTTTCGAAGAAAAAGAAAAATATTATCGAGTCTCGGCAATCTCTTTTCTATAAAAAAAAAATCAAAAAAAAAAAAAAATGGAAATATCAAAGATTACGAGTTAGTTAAAAAAACGTAGAGTGACAAGTTCCATCTTTTCCCGAAAATAAAGGATAGAAAAATCAAAAGCTGTTCAATTGGTGGATAAATAAGAAAGAAAGAAAAAAATGTAATAAGAGATGAAGAAAGAAAGAGAGAAGGAATAGTGGCAACGTCCCTGAATGAGAAAGCGGTTCGATGCACTTGCACGATTCTTTCCTTTGCATCTCTACTCCGCCTTCCGTGCAGACGTGTTGCAACACGAGGGAAACCACTGTACAAGATAATGCTAGGACGATGTACACTAGGTGGAGAAGAAACGGAAGATTGAACCGATTGGAAAGCCCTCCCAGGTACCAAGCTTCTTCGTTGCTCTGTTTCTTTCTCTCTGCCTATTTCCTATATTTTTTTTCTTTATTTCTTTTCTTTCTCACACGATATTAGAATAGAAGAATATCGTTGAAATAAATTAGAAAAAATCTTAGATTTGTCGATTTATATAGATATAACTCATCTTCCATTTTAATTTACAGGTTTTTTATAATTATTCTATTAACTGTAATTGATTAGACTGATATCGTAAATGACAATGTTCAAGAATTCTATGCATAAATAAAATTTTCATCACGTTAAAAAGGTTAGTAATCACGTTATTCAAATCATCAGATTAATTATCTAGGATTAATTTTAATCAACAAAATCCTTTAATCCTAACCTCAATTTTCAGAATTTTCTTTACCTCGTATGGAAAGTCTCGAATATTATTATATAAAAGGAAATTGAAATTCGAAGAATTTTTTTCCAGTTATGCAAAGTAAAGATAAAAAAGCCTCGTGAACAGGAAAAAGCATGTCGATTAGATGATTACCAGCGATTATAAAGCGATTCGATCGAGCGGATCAAGAAGATTCGAAATCGCTACGAGTCACTCCACTTAAAGCGATCAAAATGGTTGATCGCGACGTCGCTATCCGCATTATTATCAATAAGTTCGTCTCGAGAAGCAATTCGAATGAAGCTACGCCGACGTTTATGTCGTGGACCCTCGTCAATCATTATTTACCGACGGGTAACAGTGGTCGCTTGGTTGTCTTCGATTCCTCTGCGCCTTACCGAGCAATCGTTTTATTTTAAAACAATA